ACAATCCCTCCTCCTCCTCCTCCTCCTCGAGGCCCAGCGTCCTCACTGGCACACCACCTGGTGTCCACCCCCTTCGGGGCTCAACGTCCTCGCTGGCACAGCACCCAATGTCTGCCTCTGATAGCATTTGTAATAACTCAAGCTCACCGCTAGCAAATATTGTTCTCTTTGGGTTTTCCCTTTCGAGTTTTCGCTCAAGGTTTTAAAACGCGTCTACTAAGGAGAGATTTCCACACCCTTATAAAGAATGCTTAGTTCTCCTCTCCCACCGATGTGGGATCTCACAATCCACCCTTCGGGGCTCAACGTCCTTGCTGGCACACCGCCCGGTGTCTGGCTCTGATACCATTTGTAACAACCCAAACCCACTGCTATCTTTGGGCTTTCCCTTTCGGGCTTCCCCTCAAGGTTTTTAAAACGCGTCTGCTAAGAAGAGGTTTCCACACTCTTATAAAGAATGCTTAGTTCTCCTCTCCAACCGATGTGAGATCTCACAATCCACCCCCCTTCAGGGCTCAGCGTCCTCGCTGGCACACCGCCTGGTGTCTAGCTCTGATACCATTTGTAACAGTCCAAGCCCACCGCTAGCAGATATTGTCTTCTTTATTCTCTTGCCAGAGCACATAGATGGCTAATGATTCGAACATGAAACTAGTAATCCTGTTATTTTCTTTCCCGAGCCATGTTACCCCGAAAGAAAGCAAGAATTTCAAGGTGGTGACCAAAAAGAGAAAAGAAGCCTCACTTGGTAATTGTTCCATCAACATCAGAAATCACAATCTTCGCATTCCACTTCCATAGATAAATGTGCGCATCGACCTGTTAAAAGAATTTTAGCATCGACATACAAAAACCAAGAAAACGTGTTTATCGAGTACGTATAAATACTGAGTCTAGACTAAAACCTTTTGTGTCCCAAGAACCCTCGTTGAAAAGGTGAAAGCTATCATGTTTTGGCCTTCTTTCAGATTCAAAGACGCTATCTGCTCGGTTGTTGGAACGTTCGTCCTTACAAGCTGCCTCTTAGTAGGCTCGCTGACGCCATTCGGAAACCTTGGACTTTGTTCTGCTTGCAAGTTCTGTAAAGTAGATTCAGAATCAACAAAAATCTCCTCATTTGATGAGTTACTGTCACTGTGTTCAAGCATTTTAACCCTTCTAAACGGAATAGGCCAGAGCCTCCATCTTCGGCTGGCGGGAGTGGCCGAGGGAGCGGATTCAACCTCCACAGGAATTGTATCTTTGGGATCCACTTCTAAATCAATTCCGAATGCAGCCATCCCCAATACGATAGGAGCGGCCTTCGCCCACGACATGTACCTATCTCCAAATCTAATGATTAGGTTGTCGTTTTTAATAATCGATGACATAGACTTTTCAAATTCCTCAGCAGACACACGATGTGCATCGAACGCTTCTGCTGCTGCGTGCAACCCCATACCAGCACGAAGTTCATTACCGCAAAGAGAGATCTCGAACCCTGCATTGAATTAGAGTAATTAGAGAATACAAAATCCGTGCCAGTAATCAAGTTTCAATGAAAACATACTTGTTGAATGAGGTTGAGTTCTTCCACATAAGGCATCCACCGGAGATTCCCCCAAGTGTCGCTCACGGTGCTCGTCATCGACAATAGGCTCTTGTGAACCGCTATCCATCCTTTCAACTCGCTCACTCACGCCAGACTGTGTATTATGCAAAGGGTTATTATGATTAACAGGAACAACACGGTTTTCGTCTGAAGTGTCTTGTTCTTCACCAAACGTGTCTTCCTCAGTTCCCCCAGCTTTAACGTTTAGATTCGAAGTATTGACAATAGAGCTATCTGAATAACTTGAATGTCTCCCGTTTTTATCTACGGAATCGATAACAATTTCCTTGGTTTCAGATACTGATGGATCGATCTTGTTGAGCTTATCTTCTGAACGTTGAGACTCCGATGGAGAGATAACGTTTTCAGAATCTGTGTTTCCGACCCGTTTGGCCAATTCTGATAGCTCCAAACAGCTCTTATAAATCTCCCCCTCAATTCTAATGTGCGTATCTTCTGAATCACTCATCACAAGAAGATCATCTTCCTGAACTTGACATCCCGACGCGTCTTCAGCTTGAGAAACAAGTTTGACCTCCGCTTCAGGCGCCACTAGCTCGTGCACACTACCATTAGACTCATTGCTCAAACGACCGACTTCATTGGCTACGGAGTTATCGGTAGATGTCTTCAGCTGATTGATATAATCAGCTGCCCAATCATTTTCACTAGTAAATTCATTGTCTTCACAAAACTCTGTCCCTTCACCAGGCCCCAAATGAAACTGAGGTGTACTTAATTGCACGTCTTCTGTATTTTGTTCAGTTGCCGATATCGGAGCAGTCAGTATATGACCATCCACACTCACTAGAATAACCTCCGAATCCGTACCTTGTGGCTCAGCACAACTCTCGTGCTCGAGATTCTCAAATCGATTAGAATCACTCTCCGAAAACTCTACCAAATCCTCCACAGACGACTGCTCGTCCTGAAAATCATAGAATCTATGCTCAACATCAGATTCCGACCTCTCCACACGTGCAACCATCATAGAACTGTTTTCATTTCGTAGCTGAACAACAGTAGTGTCCGAGACACTATGCTCAAGTCGACCTTTTACGAAATTCGTACTATGCTCATCCTTAACCAAATCATCTCCAACTCCATCAGCTTGACTTCCTTGACTAGTTTCTACTTCCTTTACGAAATACGCCTCACCAGAGTTATCAAGATACATATGGAAATTGGATTCGACGCCATTGACGGATATTCGAACTATCTTCTCAGTACCCTTTAGAACGCCCTGAAATTTACCAAACCGAACATACCAAGGCGTGCTGCGAAATGTCCCATCCTGCTGCTGAACAACGATTATATCAACTGCCCCACCGAACGGATGAAACGGTGTGGCAACCGAGTAAACTCCTTGAGAAATAAAGCTTCCAACTCTCCCAACGACGTTCATTTGGACAAGCGCTTAATGCCCTCTCCAATTCACTCAAACTTCACTTCCCTTCGTTTGTTCCCTTTCAACCAAACCTGGCATAATTTACCCCCCAGTTCATGTGAAAATGTATTTCTCAGCTTCAGTTCTTTTCAATCTTAGGTTATAAACACCAATCAAAAAAAAAACTTACTGCAGTAAATTCAAGAAGAACAATAAGAACAAGAAAAACATTATAAAGGCAGCAGAAATAGAGTAAATTCAAGCCCTAAATTCTTCATAATGAACCAAAAAGAAGACATCCCAGCCGTCATTTCCAACCTAATCACAAACAGCAGAATGAACCAGACAACTAGAATCCAAAAATCAAATTCCTTTGCATGAACTCCCCATAAAAGAAACCCGACCAAAACAAATTTGGCAAAGAACACAAAAGCTGAAGCAAATCATTCCAGAACAAGAACGCATTAAACATCCAAACAAACCCAATCACGATCACGTGATTTCAAAACAAAGAAAGAAATTAAAAAGATTTGCCGCCAATTTCGGCGGCTAAGAGCTAAAAGAACATACATTCTCCAATGTTTTCTGATTCAATCTCCTGTCGGTAACGAAAAAAATTGGGAATTTGAAGATTGGAGAGGTGGGTCGGAAATTGGGTGTCACCAATTTTCTTTAAAGAATCATTTGGACGACAAAGAAATCAAGAAAGAAAAGAAGGGAAAAGAAAAGCAGAAGCAGAAATCTCCGCCATGGATAACCATAAGCATTACATAGGTAAACGGGGGTGATGCAAATACCAAAATGACCTCATTGAGAAGGAAATTAGCGATCGGATCCAACGGATTTCGTGCATTTGGGAAGACACGAAGAGGGGTGTTTTGGAGATTAAGAAAGGTTGCGTGTCTGATTAATGTTTTTTTCCTGGCTCCAAAATTGGTAGAACCAGACCAACGACACAACCTCGTGGAAGTCGTGAATTAAATTCATGTCATTTTATGTTCTTTTTTTTTTTTTTTTTTTTTAAATTAACTGTTCTTTTTCCTTCCCCCACTCCCTGCTCTTGGTCCCAACACGTGCCAATTTTCATCTCTTTTCATGATCAAACTTAAACCTTAAAAAACATTTTATACATTAAATTATGTTTAAATTCACCGTTTTTTTTTTTTGTTAATGATTATGCTATGAGTATTTGTATAATAAATTTGTATTTAGTTTAATATTTGTCATAATATTTCAAAACTAATTATAATTTAAATTCCTATAAATATTTTTTTTTACTAGCCTTAATTTTTGTCCATTATTCCGTTATTTTTTTATCCAGCTTATCGTTTCTCTCTAGTTCTCACTTATTTCTTTCTCTCTGTTAGACGACACACGACTCTCTACAATGGTACGATATTGTCCACTTTGATTATAAGCTCTCATGTTTTGCTTTGGGCTTCCCCAAAAAGCTTCATGCCAATAGAGAGAGTATTCCTTGATTATATTCATCATCCAACACTCTCTTCGTCTTCTTAGGATAATTCTGTTGAGGATTATTAAGAGTGAGTCCCACGTTGGTTAATTCAGTGGAAGATTATGAGTTTATAAATAAAAAATATTATCTTCATTGGTACGAGGCTTTTTGAGAAAGTCCAAAGCAGAGGCATGAGAGCTTACGCTCAAAGTGGACAATATTAAAAAATGTTTTGATAACTCCTAGGGGAAATTTTTTTCAAGGTTAGTTTGCGAAAATTTTCCAAATATGAAGGGTATATTTGGAAAAGAAAAACATAATTCACGTATTAGAAGGAACATTTACCCATAATTGGGCCTTGTATATTGGGCCTAACGAGAGGACGGAAACCATTATGGGCCGACAGCCCACGAAAGTATATTTTTAAAAAATTAATTTTGGTTTATAAAAAATATATATATATATATAAAAAAGGGTTAAAATAAGCAAATACGACCATGAAATCCACAACGGACGGTTCCGTTCCACAAACAAAAAACGGTAATTTCTATAATTAAGAAACAAGGCAATAAAGCAGTCCGTGACCTTCCCTTTTTACCCAACATGATTCCACCGAATCCTTCCAAGAAAACCCCACCGTTTCCTCCTACTCTCTCCTCGTCACCACCAACTCATGGCGCCGTCCCACGTCCTCTCCGCCGTCGTCGCCGCCAGCTCCCTCTCTCTCCTCTTCCTCGCCGCCACCGTCGAAACACTGACGCTCCCCGTCGCTACAAACGCACTCGCTCCATTTCTAACAAACCGACGCCGAACCTACAGAGAAGAATTCCTTGAAATGCACAACAAATATCGAGGGATGGTTAATCTTCCGCCGTTAACTTGGGACAGGAATCTCACGCGATATGCGCGGCGATGGGGCGCCAAACGCGCCGTCGACTGTAAAATTGTCCATTCGTTCGGTCCGTACGGCGAGAATATGTTTTGGGGGAGATTGGACCACTGGACGCCGTCCAAGGTGGTGGAGTCATGGGGCGAAGAGGGCCAACATTATCATATGAACAATAATCAATGTGACGCCGGCCAAATGTGCGGCCATTACACGCAGATTATTTGGAAGGAAACGCTCCGGTTGGGCTGTGCCAGAATTAGGTGCCTTAACGGAGAGTTTCTCGTGATCTGTGAGTATGATCCGCCGGGAAATTACGTCAGTGAGAAACCGATTTGATTTTCCCGGCGAAAATTGTCGACCAGCGCGGCCTTTGAAGACTGGCTTTCTTTTTTCTTTTTTCTTTTTTTTTTCGTTTTTTTTTTTTTGATTCACTGTGTTCGTATTCGTCGCGGGTTGAAAGATTCGGAGGTGTTTTATGGGAAACGAGGGCTTCAAATTAATTGTAAATTTAGTATTAAATTCCTCGATCTCAGACTTGTAAATTTGTCTTAAATTTTAAAATTCTTAGAAATTAAAATTAAAATGTGTACTAATAAATCAATTAAATTTTAAAATTTTGAATTTGTCAATCCGAAAGTGAAATTTAAAATTATAGGAAACATAAAATTTAAATTTTAAATGAGTATTCTTCATTTTTTTAATTTAAAAATAATATAGACACAAACAAAAATTTTAATATCGAAACTTTAATTTAATATATTTTTGCTTCGCCAGCCATGAGGAGAACGAAATCAAAGACACCAAGCGATGGTGGATATGAGACGGTGTACTAGCAAGGACATTGGGATCCGAATGTGGGTGGATTGGGAGGTCCTATGGGGAAGAGAATGAATACTAGCGAGGACGCAACCGGGCGATAGTGGATATGAGGCGGTGTGCCAGAAGGACGTTGGGATCCGAATGGAGGTGGATTAGGAGGTCTCACATCGATTGGAGAAGGGAGTGAGTGCTAGCGACGATGCTAGGCCTCAAAGGAAGGAAGGTGAATTGTGGGCCTCGAAGGAATGAAGGTGAATCTCAAAGGAAGGAAGGTGAATTGTGGGCCTCGAAGGAATGAAGGTGAATTGTGAAATCCCATATTGGTTGGAGAGGAGAACGAAACAACTAGCAGATGCGTTTTAAAAACCTTGAGGAGAATTCGGAGAGATAAAGTTCAAAGATAACAATACATACTCCTGTGGGTTTGGGCTATTACAGTAATACTGGGGATATACAGAGTCGTTCAAAGCACTTAATGACAAAACTCTTCCGTTTAGCTCTCGGTCAATTAATTTTCGACCCATTTTTGTGCCTTTTGGACAATTAAAAGAGCTACCTTCTCTTTTTAATATATTAACAACTTGCATGATCGTATGGTTACAAACGCAATTGACTAGAATTTTTCATATTATTTGTTATTTTGGTTCCTTACCATTCTTCACGTTTGTTGTTCTTCCCATCCATTTTGTCAATTACAAATTTCCAATCGTCATTAACAGCTGTCTTTAAAAAAAAAATTGAAAGAAAAACCCAAAATTAGCCTAATCGAATTTACATTTAAACTCAAAAAAAAAAAAAAAAAAAAAAAAAACAGAGGAAATCAGGCGGCGGCAAAGACGGTGGTTTCCAACTGGTAGGCGGCGGTGAAGAAGGAAGGCCAGCAGAGGTAAGTGGACATAATGCTACTGATTGTGGAAGCCCCGATGAGAAAGTTCATCACCACAATTTGCAGCTGAATGGCTTCAATCGGCGACGCTCCGCCCATTATCAGTCCGGTCATCGCCCCCGGCAGCGAGATCAGCCCCACCGTCTTCGCGTTGTCGACCACCGGCGACAGCGCTAGCACCAGCGCCCTCTTCACTTGCTGGTGCGTCGCTTGCCGCGGCGTAGCTCCGAGAGCTAATGCAGTCTCCACCTAAATCAAAGCGTTAAGAATATAAATAACGGATTATGATTTAATTTAATTATTGGATTAATCGTTATTAATTAGAGAGAGAGAGAGAGCGAGAAATTACGAGGCTGAATTGAGTTCTGATATCGTCCCGGAGTCTTCTCATGGCGACTCCGGTAACAGTCATGGAATTTCCGACCATCATTCCGGCGACAGGGATTATGTACCTTGGAGTTAACGGAAACACTTTCAACACCACTAGCATCACCATTGTCACCGAAGTGCCGGCAAAAATTGAAGCTCCGGCCACCAACTTCCCCCGAGGCACGTGCTTCGCACGCTGCCCTGCTGTGTATCCCGCCACCGTCACCTGCGGCAACAAATACAATATCATCTCTAATAGCAGCCTATTGAGGACAGGAACTCTTTCTCTGTTTTTTCTTTCTGCATAAAATAAAATTTTCTTTCTATAAAGCTAATAAATTTGGTATCCAAAATAATTGAAAATTGAATTTTAGATAAAATTAGAACGACGTAGGGCCATCAAACTCACTTTTTAGTTCCCTTCTCCAACTGACTCGAGGTGGAATTTTATAATCTACTCCTTAGGGTCTAGCGTCCTTGTTGATACACAACTCGGTGTCTGGAACCATTAATAACAGCCCAAACCCACAATTAATTGATATTATCCATCTGAAACCATTAATAACAGCCTAAATCCACCACTAATCGATATTATCCATCCCTTACTTATCGTCGTTAGCCTCACAATTTTAAGTTTCCACGGTCTTACCATAAATATTATGTACTCCTCTACAATCTATGTCAGATTTTTGTAAAAGGCCTCTATTAGGAAGTTTCTACACTCTTACCAGGAATAATTCATACTCGTCTACAATTGAGGTGTGATCTTTTTAAAACGTGTATGCTAAGGTAAAATTTCTATATCCTTACTAGAAATATTTAGTACTTCTCTACGATCTAGATGAAATCTCACAAATTATTTAGATTAAATTCTAAATTTCTCGACATTATAAAGACAACGTCTACGATTTAAACCCTAATTTGCGAGGAATTGATTAATTTTTGGAGTTCCAAGACATTCGTTCCTATCCGATCCACCGATTGGAAACTAGTGAAGGAAAGTACCAAAAAAAAAATGAGAGAAAATTACCATGAAGAGATAGGCGAGGAGGATCCAAGCGAGGTTTTGCTGGTTGAAGATGAACTGAAGAACAAAGCCAATAACAGAGAGCTGAAGAAAGGCTCTGGAAATGGCGTAGATCATTTCGCCTTCGAGGCCAAGCTTCTGGAAGTAGGAGAGGACGACGGCGACGGCAACAATGGCGGTGGCGAGAAAAGGCTTCGTCATGCCTTGAAGGAAATCCAGAAGCCATTGAAGATTCATGCCAATTCCGAGAAGAAAACAGAGGAAAAAAAGAGAAATCGAGAGATTTTTGTTCTGTTATTGGGAGTGGAGAATATAAGGCATTCGTAAAAAGTGATTGCTAGCGTACCGCCTCCCCCTGGTGTGTTGCCCTTCGTCATTAACTCCTTATCTCATTATATTGCTTTCTACAGTCAGCTCTATTAAAATAAAGTTAAAAATTGCAATCTAATCCCTGCTCTTTCAACTCATTTATAATTTAGTCCCTATATTTTTAAATAATCTTTTTATATATATATATATATATATATATTGATTTAAAAAAAAATTAAATTAACTCAAAATTTCAAGTTGGTTGGACTAGTATCAATCAGAGCACGACACAATTCAACTTAAATTTTTGTATTTTTATTAGATTTAAGTCGATTTCTTTTTGTAAAAAAAAATCTACTCATTTATAATATTCTACATTAATAATTAAAATTTCATAAAATTCAATTATTAAATCATTACAAAACAGTGATTACAAATATTAAATATTTTAAATCTTCGTAATAATTTTTTAAAGTGCAGTGGAGTTGGATTATAACCTTATTTTCAGGTTTGTTGAGTTAACTCCACAAAGGCAATTCACAATCTAATCTGAATTTTAAATATTTTAAAATTTTAATTTAACTTAAATTGAAAAAAAAAATCTAACCCAAATCAACTTTTATAATTTGAGTTGGGTACACTCTAAGTTATTCGAGCTATTTGGTTTATATATATATATATATATTTAATTATTTATTGTATTATTAGATTATTTAATTATTTATTTGATTTTACATGTGAGGTTATATTAAAGGTAAGACTATTTGTTGATTATTTTCAGAGAAAATACAAAGTGGACATTTAAAATAAAGAAATTATGGTCAATCATAAGGTTGTATATTTTTCTTTGTGTCACGCTAACATTTTCAATTTCATGTGGGTGGAAAGTCTAGGTATTTGTTTAGCACTAACCAATAATATAATAGTCTTAGACTTGGTGGTTTATAGATCTTCCATGTCTTAGAATTATTAAAATTATTTTTAACAAATAACATTAGATATTACCACGTCAGCACTTATAATAAAAATATAAAATCAATTAATATTTTAACTTACCACTTAAAAAATATTTTGAGACTTAATATTAATTCTACCATAAATATTAGCTTTACCCTTCATATTAAAGTCGTGATATTCAAATAAATAAAAGATACATAAATGAACTAAAACGAGCATAAAATTAGAATGACTAAGTATTAAATGTGGCTTTACAAGTTAACTTCTTATAAATTTTACGTGAGCAAGGACAATACATGCTCGCACTAGAATTACCTTTTTTTTTTTAATTGAAAAATTAGTAATATATATATATATATATATAATTATATATTGTTATTATTAATAATGTTATCGTGCAAGTTAATTCAATTGGAGATTGTACTTCAAGTTGACCTTCACCAGAAACGTTTTTTCATCGTAGAGGTATTAATTACGACAGGATATAATAATTATAATTATAATTATTAAATTGAACAGCGTACGTACGGCGGTTAAGGAATTAAAAAAAAAAAAAAAAAAAAAAA